ATTTGGGGTAACACGTGCATGGAGTTTGTAAATAAATTTGCGCCTCATAAATGGCTATTCATGGCCGAAATATGGAATTCACGGCTGGGTGAAATGGAATCACGGCTCAAAGAAATGAAATCAAGGCTGGCAAATTCATAAAACCACGGCTCAAAAAATTCAGTTGCAGCTCGCCAAGTAGATATATTCCATGCCTGCTGTGCTGCATGTGTTTACTGTTTATCCAGTCTCTTGTTTCATGCATCCTGATTGCATTCTACCAGTCACGTAAGCTCGGGCAGACAGCCACCAAGCTCAGTTGCATTCAACAACTTTTTGATGTGCAGTGGCAGCGTTCCAACTTCAGCATGCAACTTCTACATCACCATGCCTGGAAAGTGCAAATTTCATGACTTGTGATGAAGAATAGAAGCTTATTGTGGCTGGCTTGCTTGACATCCAAAGCATGAAGGTATGGAGATATGTACATTGTGCTTGAAAGACTTTGATGTGTCGAATATGGGGGAAGCAGCTTTGAAGAGCCATGCCAGAGGCAACTAACACACCAAGTTAACTAAGCAACACAGTGGAGAGAAAAGCAAAGCGCAGTCACGCATTTCCAATTTGTGGTCTGGCTCCACTGACAGCAATGTTACTGCAGTTTCTTGCTCCAAAATCAGCACTGTAGTTTCTACTGCCACTGTGAATGTAGAGAAAGAGAGCAGGCCTGTATCCATGGCCCAAAGCCAACCCAGAACTGACCAGCTTCGTAACAAAAGATGTTCTGACGTCTGAAACCACATGGACATTGAAAATGGTGACTTCTCACTTTTCTTTTCATAGCAACATTGACGTAAGTGATTTATTCTGCCGCATGTCTCCTGACAGTTCAATAGCTAGCAAGTTTTCACACGGCAAAACAAAGGCAAGATATATCACCAGTGATTCACCACTTTTGGCCTGGGACCTTGCTGTCATATACCTGACCGAACCTGTCTTATACAAGTCTTGGAAAATTATATTTATATTCATGGAGAGTCATGGAAAAGTCATGGAATTTTTTTTAAATACCGGTACAAACCCTGTGCATGACTTGGTCTGGGAGATCAGAAATGGAAAATTTTTTATATTGTTTTTTAGATATTTTATAGTTCTGCTCCTTTAAGTTTGAGTCATATACAGGCTTGGAAATGGAATATATGTATATCTATCTTCCCGTTGCGACTAGGGCTTTCTGGCCATTTTTGGACTCGCAAGATTCTGGATGGATGAGCTATCTGTCATCTAATTGTTGACCAAGGTGCACAATCAGACTGCAAAGTTCCAAATATATGTAAAATAGGTTACATTAGAGCTGCAAAATTTCAGTAATAAGTAGAAAATTACTGTACTAGGCCACATATAATTGTTCCTTTCTTTTTATATTTTATTTAAACAAAAATCAGGGTTGCATTGATTAAACCATTTGATTTTCTATAAAAAAGGCTAGATTTTTATTATTTTTTTTATAATTTTTTTATATATATAAATATATTTAGTGGCAGTCTTTAATTTATTTTGAGGTATTGTTATTCGTGGTTTAGTATAAATGTACTATGACAAATTGGAATATAAACTTGTTGCCTTTAATGTGTATTAGGTTCTAATGAATTGTATGTTTTTGGTACAGAGGCATCAAGTGTTGCAATACATTGTACATAGCTAGCTTATACATTGTGGGGCAGAACCGATTGAGCAGTTTTCAGGCAAAATAAGAGTAATTGAGGTATATGAAGAAGAAAGTTTATTTTCCTCAAAGTTAGCATAACATACCATTTAAAATACTTATGTTTTGAAAACAATATTAGGAAGATGGTATCCATTAGCTACATCACACTGTTGGAGTGGTTCTTGGAAATTTCCTACAGCACATTCACCCATGTGGCAAGGTATTGCCATAACCTCTGCTGCAATAATCTGTTCCCTTTGCTGTGGTAGGGTGTGAGGGTGGCTTCTCTTTTAGATGTCCCCAAAGAAAGAAATTGCAAATGCTCAAATTAGGTGACCTTGCAGACCACTGTAAATCACCCCTCAGAGACACCAGATGTCTGGGAAACATGCGTTTCAAAACATTGAATGACATTCGGGCTGTGTGAGCTGTAGCCCCATCCTGCTGGAACCATTTGTCTCACAATGCTTCATTTTCAACAATGTTTTCCATCCTTTGCTGCAAGAAATTTTGCAACATTGCAGCATAGCATTTGGAATTCACTGTCACGGTTACTACCTCTTCTGAGAATGACTCCAACAGTGTGTTGCAGCTAACGGCCACCATCTTCCAGCTATTGTTTTCAAAACATAAGTATTCTAAATGGTATGTTATGCTAACCTCGAGGAAAATAAACTTTCTTCTTTATGTTACTCCAATGCTCTCTTATTTTGCCTCGAAGCTGCTCAATCAGTTCTGCCCCACCCTAATATGAGTATTCTAATCGAAATATTTAATTTCAATTTTTAAATATGTCAATTTAAATCTAGACAAAACAATTACAATTATAAAACTAAATATAAAATGATTAAATACAGTGAATGGAAATATAATGTTTGAATGTGCATATGTTTATTTCAAACAGTGTTAGCTTCTTTCTTAAGTCAAGTCTCATTTCAAGACATTTGAGGTTTGTTTGGTTATCAATCAGTTTATGTTTAGTATTGGTTTATTTTTCTGAATCAAATGGGAAGAGAGCAGCCAGTCACTCAGTCACTTCTGTTGGTATGTTTAGAGGGTAGAGTCTGGTAGATTTATAGGACATAAAACTAGTAGATCTATTGAGAGTGTTGTGCACTGTGCTATCAGCTACCTATCTGTTATGTGACTCTCCAATGTTTAAAAGATTCACATTCCTGAAGTGTTTTTGTATATTAAAGCCAGTTAAATGGTCGATGATTTGCTTGTTACCTTGCTCCATACAAACTTCACAAAGCTGATGAATAGACTTATCAATAATTGTTCACCTAAAGTCCCAAAGTGGTAAACACCACCTTGGCCATTATTGAAGGCAATAAGTGCCATTTTTAGTCATCCATTTTGATCCATATACAGGGTGACACAAAAAAAAACAGAGCTCATAAAAAGTTGAATAATTTCCACAATACTCAAGTAATCCTGTTATTTGTTTCAGATTCATTAAGAAGACGGATTGATCTAAGAGTCTACCACGTGTGAGCTTCGAGATGCCTTGGACTACAGAGCAAAAGACATTTGCAAGGCTGTAGAACAAAGAGTTTTTGTGGTATAGAATTGAGATTTTGCAGATGTTGGCTACATAGGTTGTACATAATTCCATAGAATTTTTGTTTCAAACTGAATAAAATTTCAGGAGTTATAAGACTTTTAGTGAGCTCTGTTTTTTTTGTGTCACCCTGTACTTTTATTGTTAGTAGGCTAATTGCAACATAAAAAATAAATAACATTTCAAAAAGACAAAAAGCTGAAAATTTCAAATAAATCATATAAGTAAAAAATCATGAAAAAAAATATTGATTTTTATATTAAAGAAATAAGTAAAAAATGACCAACCCTGACAAAAATTAGTGCAATTTTCTAATAGTTTCAGTGTTACTGGTACTCTCTCAAAATTAACCCAGTGGCTGCCAGGCCTACCCAATCAAATTTTGAAATCATTAGTGATGACTGATGAGCATTAAAACCTGTTGTTGATATCTGCATTTGCCTGTAAATGTATAAAAATTATAGATAGTCTTGGCATTGGCAACAAACCATTCTGTAAACATGGGCAGAATCTACCTGTGAATGAGCCTAAAATGCCTATGCTTGCAATTGATTTCAACCCATTTTTTATAATTGGTGCCTTATTTATTTCATTTTAAAAATTATTTGCCAACAATTTTCAAAAATTGCTCATGGAATGATTTTTTTCCCTGCAATATTATGTCAAATTCTGTCTTAACATTCTAGATTGGGTTAAGGGGACTGACTACCCTCTGGAAAAACTTCTACAGTTATTATCCGATCATCATGAAACTTCACATACATACGTAAAATGTAAAAAAAATAACATTTTGCTCCTATAAATTTTTTGAAAAAATTGATAGAAAACGTGAAATTCATAGAAAACGGCTAAAAAGGGGTACTTTAGAAAATCTATCTCCTACAAATATCATCCTACAACATCGAGACACATATCATTCAGTTTGTAAGGACCATACCTATAGATTTGATGATCATTTTTCTCATTTTCCCCTTAGTTTTTTTTATGCACGTTTTATCCCATTTTTCTCATTTTTTCTCTTTTTTCCCCCCTCCCCCCTTTTCTCCCCCATATAAAAAACGAACCAGACAGAAATTCAAAAAAATGATCATCAGTTCAATAGGTATGGTCTTTACAAATCGAATGGTATATGTCTCATTGCTGTAGCTTGAAAACTGTAGTAGGAGATAGGTTTGCCGTGCAACCAATCGGAGGTTTTCAGGACACCCAAAAAACTGCCGGGCGGCACGTAAAATGACGTAAAATAGTCGTAACGTAGCCAACATACCGCAACCAAGCCTTAAAACTAAGTGAGGAAGGCATAGAGCTAGTGGCTGCACACCTTTCACCTCGCTGTCATGATGGGCATTGAAAGACCTGGCTGCATCTGGCAGTATATCAAGTCATGCCCCGTAATTAATGCCTTAGGAATTTGTTAAGGCCGCCCCCCACCGCCCCCCATTCCATGGGGCGTGGTGAACGTAAAAATGGAGGTAGAAAGATGATTCTGCCACCAATGCAATCGTCAGAAAATAAGCTTTAAAATGAGTATGAGCACCGGATAATGCCATGATTGGCCGCCTTACGTCAGACGTTCCTTTTTAGTGTGTCGACCCTTCTAATTAATCCCTTAGGCTTTAGTTAAGGGCTCTAAAAACTCCCTCCCTTTGGGGGGCTGTTACGAAATCATTTTTTGACGTAGAGGGATGATTCTGGTACGGTTGGATGCGTCAAAAACTAAGCTTTAAGATGAGCTCAAAAACCAAAAAACGCCAAAATTGAAAATTTTAGGGTAGTTGGTCCCCTTAAGAATCTTCAGAACTTGATAAATTCTAGAAAAAACTTATAGTGGCCTATGACATATATAATGGACATGCATGGAATGCATGACATGCATGAGTTTTGCAACTCATGCATTAGCTCTAAACTTGTCTAAGTATATTTATTGACAGGACAATCCCCAATCTGGAATTTCAGGCAGAATTTCTAACAATCTTGGGTAAAAGCCAAAACTGTTTTGCTGATTTTCAGGAATTGCAGGTGAAAATTTGTGGTTTTTCTCTTATTTTATAAAATAAATTAGGCAAAGGTAACATAAACAGGTGAAATGGTCTGAATGCCATTGAGGATTTTTGTTATATCTTATCTAATTATTGATAAAACATTTTTAAAACTTGAAGCTCCACATTAGAGCCACAAAATTTCAAATATACCTGAATTTTATTTCCTATTAACTGCAGTATTTCAGTAATAAATAGGCTTTTTACAAGCTTTGGATGTGGAAAAATTTACAAAATAGCAATATTGATTCAATTAACCAAGTTCCAATTACCACCATAGATAATATTATGGGTATAGAATGTTGATGTTGGTGATCAATATATTTGAAAAATTCTTATATTACATTGGAACATGAATTCTATGTCAAATTCAAAAACAATTCTATTTTCAGAGGCCCGCAATGAGTGAGGACATAGTTCTTCGTCTTCGTGGATTGCCATGGTCTACCACTGAAGAAGAGATTGTAAAATTTTTTGGTAAGATTCTATTTTCTTAATATTATTTCTAACTGCATCCTGTTCTTTTCTATCATGATTAGGAAATAATTTTTTTACTTAAATTTTACTTAGTCTACTGTGATATTCTCTTCCTGTTATGTCACATTAATCCATTTTATTCTTCTTTTAAACATCATGGAAGGACCCTAATCCATTTCCTGAGGATCACTGGATCAGAATTGGCCTGTGGCAGACACTTGTATCTTTATTTAGAAATTTCTTCTAAACTTGCAAAGACATTTTCTTTAACCATTGTTAAGAAAATAATCAATCAAAAACACCAGGGTTTGGAAAATTGTTTTAAAATGTTGTGTTTGTTATCAATCATATTAATTAATTATTTGCAATTCATATCCTGGTATTTGTTATCAATCATATTAATTAATTATTTGCAATTCATATCCTGCTTAGGAAATTCTTTTCAATACTCTGATTGATTTCATGTTGTTTTCAGACCCAGTGGAGCTTGCTGGGGGCATAGACGGAGTCCATATAACTCTGTCCCGAGATGGGCGTCCCAGTGGAGAGGCTTATGTAGAGTTGGCCAATATGGAAGATTTATCAGAAGCAGAGAAGAAACATAATCAGCACATTGGTCGCAGATATGTTGAAGGTATATAGAAGGGAATATTCTGTTGGCATAATCTCATTCTGAAATGATTTTTAATGATTATGAGCATTGATTGCTTCCTATCAGTACATATATACATAATTGCTCCTCAAATAGAAATTGCTCCTCTCCATATAAATGGAAATTCCAAACTGTGTATGTTGTATGTTTGGAATTTAACAATGTATGTTCTTTCATAATTACTTTTAATATTATGATATGTATAGTTCTTTTCCCATTTGGAAACTACTAAATTACTCTTAAGAAATAATTTTATTTTGGGGTTTTTATCTTATCAAGAGCATTTCATTTGTTTTAGCAGCAGATCGACCTATTATTGATGACCAAGATATGTAATCTATACTATTTGAAATACTTATCATTCTGAATCAGAATACCACCATCCCAAATTTTGTATCCAGTTGATGATCTAAAAACTAACAAGTTATTTAAAGAATGTCCTACTCCAACCTTTATAAAGCATGGAACTTCCAATTTAGATCCCAGTTCGAAATTTGAAGCAATTAAAATTTTTCCTTAGTGCATTAAATTTGACATTCTAAAGTGAAAAATTTCATTAAAATTTAGTAAATCACCCTCGCCTTGTCTTGCAACTCCTTAATATTTCCCCCCAAAATAAAACACCAGGTCCAGGTAACATCCTGTTAGTACCCTAACTATCCTGGTTGCGCACCCCTACAGCCCCGGTGTGTTGCTTCGCCAGGCTCTAAACACTCAAGCATTGACAAATGTGTATGCGTTAGACTACTTAGCAAAATACCCGCATGATGATGCAGAAGCCAGCCCTGAATGCTCAGTAAGAATTTTCTTTCAGTTTTTCGCGCCCGCCGGAGTGAAATGGAGCGGTCCATGAACCGAGGCAAGTTCCCTGACAATAAGGACGACTGCTGTGTCCGTCTGCAGGGACTGCCCTATGGCTGCTCCAAGGAAGAAATATTGCAATTTTTTACAGGTCAGTTTCTTTAAATTACTATTTTTTTCTACACAGGTTTGACTATTGATCTGAAACTAATGAATTTGAAAATTTGAAGTATGCTGCAAATGGTAACACTAGTTTGTAGTATATCTCATTCTTTGAACCCTTTTACTCTATGTTTACTTGTCTATTCAGATTCTCAGTGGAGAAATTCAAATTCCTTATTTTCTGTTATCTCTATCAGGATTCCATTTTTCTCAATTGTTGTATTGATGATTTTCTATCAATTTTGAGTGATAACAGCAAAACATTTTTTGAAAATTATATTATTGATAATTGATAAAATTAATTGCCTTTTTCAGCATTAGTTGGGGTGATCATATGTGATTACAAAGTTACATTGGAATAGTTATTTTGCATTCGAACTGTGGCGGTTACTTTGAAATTTTATTCAGCATATATTATTTATTTCAAATTACTGCTCGAAATTATTCAAATGTTAGCACTATTATCGTGTTAAGTACAACTTACAAACATCCTTCCTGTTTACAGAGAAGTTACCAGTTAAACAATTTCTCATAATAGATGCTGCGTTGACCATTCAACTTATTTAATCCCTTTTTATATGGTCCTGCTCTACATATGTTTGAAGCTATGAGATCTGTTGAGCTTTGCCGCCTTTGTTCTAAGTTTGTATCTGAGCTAAACGAGGCATCAGCTATGGACACATATTTTCTACAATTCTGTTCCGTTCAAATATATTGCAAGATGACCTTCATTTCTTTAGGTAAAAATTCTCAAGTGCACTACACTGCCCTAATATCTTCTATTGTTATTTTACCCTCAAATTTGGATTCTAAGGAATTTCATCACTCAATTTTAAAAGAAAAGATGATAGCATCTATTTAAGCAATAAGAAAACTTCTAGGGTGACTTCTCCAGAGGTTTAATGTTCAATTCCAGCATCACAAAAGTTTTCCTTCTTTATCTGAGTTGCTGCTACTTTTTTTCTGATGAAAGCATTCGACTCAAACAGAACTGTACTGTTAATCATGTAAGAGACCAGACTCGTGTGGAGGTAAACCATGAAAGTTTCATGGTTAAAGCACAAACCATGAAAGTTTTTTGGTTAACCTCATGGTTAAACCATGAACAGTTTTCATGGTTAAATCATGAATATTTGATGGTTTACCTCCGCCATAAATAAAATTGGCTCGCGTGGTTGACTCTAAGTCAAGTTCGTTGTGTTAACCGTGTTTTCTTCTGGTGTTTGCTGGGTGCCACCAACTAGGGTTGGAGGTAGTACCTAACGGTATAGCGCAACCAACGGACTACCAAGGGAGGACCACTGGGGAAGCTTTTGTTCAGTTTGTCGATAAAGAAACTGCCGAGAGAGCTCATGAAAAACACAAGGAGAAGATAGCGCACAGGTGGGGGGACCGTCGGTGGTGGTGGTGATGATGATGGTGGTGGTGGTGGGAGGTGTTCACCACATCACTCGCTAGTTAACTACTACTCCTGTCACTGGGTGGGTCGTAACAAATAAGATTTCATTCACTCGACTGGGAACTTTCTGCGCCATGGGGACGTGCAGCTCCTTACCCAGAGTAGATGGTTCTCTTCATCACAAACTTGTTTCGATTCTTACTGTTGATAAAACTTTACTTTTTTGCCTCCAAATAACGTCCGTTGTTGCGTTACTATGAAGTGATTATTTGTTTCTATTTCTCTTCCATGGATCATCAACATTATCACTGTTTAGTTCAGATAGCCAAAGAGGAATGAATGCTTTATCATTGGTTTCATTAAAAAAACAAATCGATTTGCGTTCGTCACCACGCATTGATTCGATACAAAATGAAAATTAAATTACCAGAATTTTATAATTCAAATTAAAAACAATTTTGCTAATTGTTTGAGCAGCCGATTTGTTTTGCAGGCGTGATACGTTTCTGAATTTTGTAAAACGTTCAATTAATCTACATTCATTATGAAATATATTTGATTAATTTTGATTCTATGTTTCGTTGTTGAGCTTTAACACAAAATTCAGGTTTGAATATTGCTCTGATATTTTAAAATTTTAAAATATAAATCAATGTCCAAAAATGAGCAGTGCAGAGCTACTTGTATAAGGCTGAATTAGGTCAAATTCCGACAACAATTCATTTACTTTTTTAGCAAATATGTAGAAATGGATGCAGTTTTCCTCGTCCTAAGAATCGGAAATTGCACGAGTTGCTGCCAAATTTGTCATGTTGAGAACCATCGTTGCGTGGGTAGAGAGTAGCTGTGCAGGGTTCTGGTGGTGAGTGGTATGAACAGAGCGGTCACGGCACTGGTGGGGAACGCCTCCTGGTGATTAAACGCTTACACCACCGCGGTGGTGGTGGTGATGGAGGTGGGGCCGAAGTGGTGGTGTGGGCCCGAGCAACGTGGGAAGGTGGGGTCTATTTTCTTATTCTGCGCTCGTTCTTCATCTAGTATTATCACTGTGATGAAATGGTTACATTGCTCGCGTGTGATAAGTTAAATACGAAAATGCATAGGTTTTCATTTTTAAATGAAATATCCTGAACATATTTTGGATTCACGGAGCGCGCTAAATCAACTTCTATACCGTGTAATGATAAGTTTATTAAGTTAAGCAGTCAATTGTTTAAATCTTCTACGATCAACGACCTATTCTTAATCTTTGAAAGCATTCATTAAATTATCAAATACTTCCAGGAAACTATCTTGAAATATGTCTTTACTGAAGTTGTGCGTGTTAGTAGAGACAGATTCCGTCACCCTTGAACTGTTACAAACCAAGAGACGCCTCTGCAAGTTGCATCATATTCCTAATGTGAGTCATTTCGTTGTCAGAATCTGTGCTTCAATGGAAGTATTGAGCACATTGATATTCTTTGTCATGCATAGAGATTGGGTTAACGTCATCGCACAACCGACCACCGTTGAGATGCAGCCGCTATGATAGCCACACACTTTTCTCAGAGAGAGGACTGACGCCCATACCAGATGCGAGCTTTGGCTCAATGCAAAATTTCAGTTTTTCACCCTGACGCCTATTTTCGTATTTTTATAGTCATTCCATTCAAACCTTGAAGTTGTCGAAACATGTTTTTGATTAAGGCTTCTTTGGAAAACGACCATATTTAGCTCCGTGTTCATGTTCCTTGTCAATTAAAATTGGAATCGATTTCATCAAGTCTCTTCTAATTAGATACCCGAACTAATCTTTTATATCTAAGTATACCAAACGAATTATCAATGCAGGCGATCCATATGAAACTGAAAACACGTTTGTACCCATCCATACATTGAGTTATTTAAAATTGCAACCCAATTTAAATTGACCATGACCCGTCGTGTTTCACGTGGTTAGAGATCTGTGTCTGAACTGCAGTTGGCATTGCGCAATCAATCTAGGCAAACCTTGGCAACAGACACTTAGCACTGACACAATTGTTATGTAAAACGTACATCTTGAAGTAGACTGCTCAATAATTTTTGAAGTTCCAGGCTGTAACGCATTTGCTTGCCCATTTAGGTACATCGAAATCTTCAAGAGCAGCATGGCAGAGGTGAGAGCTGCCCTGTTCCCCCGTATGAGGGGAGGCGGTCCCTATGGGGGTCCCATGCCCGGGTTCAACAACCGACCTGCCCCATACGACTCCCGCGACAGATACGGCGGCCCCAACCGTTACAATATGGGCGGCAGACGTAAGTTGCACGCATCTACGAATCAATAAATCTTTGAGATTTCCTTAGATGTTTTAAATCTCGGGAAAATATTAGTCTATGAACATTTATAAACAAAATGACAACATAGTGATAGCTCAGATTTTTTTTGATAGCTCAATGCGTTTAAGCTAGCATTTAAGCTAATATGACAGGTCGTGGATTAAGTAATCTCACTGAACTGCATGTATAGAGAGAGAGAGAGAGAGAGAGAGAGAGAGTATAGCTGCCAAAAGTTAATTTGCATATTATTCATTTTGATGTACTTGTATGTAAAGAAAATTAAAACAACCTGCGCCTCGCAGCGGGGTACGACGACTACGATGGTTATGAGGGCAACGGCTACAGCGACGGCTGGGGTGGTGGCAGAAGCAGGATGTCGGCTCCAGGAGGAGGAGGTGGTGGTGGTGGTGGTATTGGCGGAGGCATGAAGGTGAGTTAACTGTTATGCCTTAATGGTTTCCTCTACACTTGATGTTTACGCTGGAATATAATCAAGAATTGTTGGTGCTAAATTTTCTTGGAAGCGCTACAAAACAGTTCGATCTTATTTTCTAAGGCTTGATGCGACAGCCGAGCTGTTGAAGAAATTGAAATATTTTTGGTGCGCAGCCGTTCCGTGGTGGACGTGAAGGCGGCGGCCATTGTGTCCACATGCGGGGATTGCCATTCAAGGCCTCTGAGATGGACATTGCTGACGTGAGTATTTGATCCATTTTGATTGGTGGCAAATCAATCTATTTTTTTGATGTGAGCATTGTACTGTTTTACTTTCGTTTAGATTTATATGCTCGTTTAAGCTGGGACAAAAATATTTCTTTTAATTTTCAACATGCATGAAATATTCGAGCTTCATGATATTATTTGTGCTATCTAGATTCAGTGAATGTGAATTGTGAAAGGACAATTTTATTCTAGTAATGTTATATTGAAGTACATAAATTTTTACTGTTCTTGCTAAATCATGCATATTCTGCCTCCAAAAGTTGAAACAGTGGAATGAATTGCATCTTGCACCTGATAATTTAGTCCAATTCATCCAGTTTAGTTATCAGCTTTAAAATTTCAAATGGGCAGTTTTTCCGGCCACTGAACCCCATGAACATCTGCATTGTTAAAGACCACGCCGGTCGACCTTCCGGGGAAGCCGACATCGAGTTTGCTTGCCACGAGGACGCTGTGCGAGCCATGTCTAGGGTGAGTCTGGGTGAGGGTTCTAGTTGGCTTTCCGCGAAAACATTGCTAGCCATGTCTAGGGTGAGTCTGGGTGACGGTTTTAGTTGGCTTTCCACGAAAACATTGCTAGCCATGTCTAGGGTGAGTCTGGGTGACGGTTCTAGTTGGCTTTCTACGAAAACATTGCTAGCCATGTCTAGGGTGAGTCTGGGCGAGGGTTTTAGCTTGCTTGACACAAGGGGTAGAGGTACTACCCCTCGTGTCAAGCGTGAAAGTGCGAGCTGTGTTTATGGTGTCCAAACCTCCAAACGAGTGATATTGTGTAATATCAATCAGACTTCGGCCATTTCTAAACCTTTCTCTATGTAAAACTATTGTTTAATGTACACGATTGCAAAAAAAAATTTATCGTGAAGGTACATTTTGTCTAAGTAATCTTTTTAATAATGTGGACTACTTTTATTCCCATCAATGCATGCGTTGTAAATTAATCTGTTGGTACTAACCGTAACCTTTTCATTCATCCTTGTGAGCAACGAAAATCCGAGTTGTCACCCTAATTTGCCCTACTAATTCATAAAATGTGCAGATCTTCGTTTGGTAATGCTATGTCAATGATGTTGCGCAGGACAAGGCCAATATGCAGCATCGGTATATTGAGCTCTTCTTGAATTCTTCCCCTGGCGGAGGTATGGCCAGGTCGGGAGGCTTTGGAGGAGGATACAGAGATGGTCCCCGTATGGGGTCCGGCGTGGGGCGATATGGAGGCCGTTATTAAGCTGCCCAAAACTCTCCGTACAAAATCAGATCTATACTGGTATTGAATCCAAAGCAAGCGGGAAGTTTGGTGGCCAGGATTTTGAATGTGAAGTTCTATATCAGTTTCAGGGAATCATTTATGATTGTCTTCGAGTATCATTCATCCTAAAATATTTGTAGGCACATTGTAAGAGTTGCAGCAAGTTAATTGTATTTTCTTTTGTGAAAGTGCTTATCGATGAACCTTGGCAAGCTTTTGTCTCTAAAATGGGAGCTCATTAACGTGATAGGTCGAAGAATATCTTGTAATCTACTTGAACATATGAAACTATTCCCAAAAATGTTCTGTGCTACTCGGGGCATAAATAATGTGATCTTAGTAGGCTGGATACAATATCAGGCGCTCTTTACATGATCCAGAGGAGCAATCAAATCTGTCATAGGGCAGTAGGATAAGTTCTAGTATTATCATTTATTCCAACGAAAACTGATCGGTAGCGATTATTTGTAGACATATTTCTTGCCAATTTTTTCCTTGGTAGTCAGTCATTTTGCATGAACATTAATTTGGCGGACGACTTAGCAGACTATTTTATTAGTATTTTTGGTACCTGACTTTAACTTTCTGGTGTGTGTATGTATCTATGTGACTTCTATACTGGACGTGAAGCGCTTACAACTTCAACGCGTGTGGCACACTTTTGGCAATAATTGCGCGCGGCAGGTTTTGTTGTCCCTGTCGTATTTTGGACGGACAAGCTTCTACCATCAAAATTATCCTTGGAAATTATTGATTCAATTCTCCCGTGAATGACTTGAATGCAAATAGTAACGGTTACCAATGTACTTATGAAAATTGTAATGATCATGACAATTAATTACATCCCCGCTTATGTGTGGGGATGTTAATTTGGTGTGAACAATAACGAATTGAATGCGTTATACAAGAATTATTTTATTTCTCTCCACTTGGATCCAGCTTGCTTACTAATAACCATATATATAAATATTTATATGGTGATTCTAGAACCGTGTTATCATGCAAAATTATAGATCCTTGAAATAGGCTTGTGTATTCGGCTCGATTATTCCTCATTTGTGTTACCGTCTAAGAGTCTCTTATTATGATTTGAATTAGGTTAGGTTTCGTTTAATCCGATGCTATTATACACGAGATGTTGTACATTTCCTTCCTAATGTACAGAGTTCCGCGGATAGTTTAAGTAAATTATCGGCGACTCTTCAATGGATGCTGATAACAAGTCTAGCAAATACAGTTGCGTGTCTCCTGTATTGATAATGCGTTTCAATTCCAGTTACCGTGCATTATAATTTATCAACCTAATTTTCGAATATCAGTACATAATTTGATTCATCATTCATCCTTGTTCATTCCTAGTTTGATTCACCCTCAATCCTCTACTGCCGTATGTCACTCCGGGAACAACTTTCAACGTAGATTATACGTAAACTATTGAGTGTATCGACCTAAAAACGTTTGTACGCAACAGAGAACATTTTAAAGTTATATATACGTGGCGGCAACCACCAGTGCAAGTCATTTTGCGCTCACTAGAACGTATCCTTTTTGGGAAGTAGGCTAGTGACAATATTGCTCCGATTTCCCAAGTCAGGCAATATAGATTTAAATTCAAGTCTAGGGCTAGGTTAATAACAAGTTTATATTCTACATTTAATTGATGTTGGAACAGTTGATTGATCAGAAAATCACCAATCATTCCCACGTAAATGAGATTGTCTATGTCTCGAATTTATTGACAATCAAATGCCTATTACGCCTATATGAATGCATCATCAGACACTTATTCCGCCACCGAATTGTCAATTGAATTAGCTGCCTGGAATTTTATTTTAATTCTCAATAGAGTTATTATAGACGGCAGATTTGAGATCTAGCAATTCTTCAATGCTTTGAAGGGATGTGTTTCAGAGACAAAAATGTACAAAGAATAATTTAATAATCTTGAAAAGTCTCGTGCGAGTCAGCGTGAGACGATTTACACAATAATTTTCACAAGAGTTGCGGTGCTCGAACCCTATACGTGGAGCTACAGTCATGATAATCCTCATCACTCAGCCACTCTTTCTCTGTGCGTAAACTAAACAAAGAAAAATTTTTGCAGGTTACGCCTCGCATGCGAGTCCTCAAAGTCAACAAAGTGTTATGAGGTAATAATAATACTAGCGGGTTCAGGTTTTATTTGTCCGTAGGCCTGTCGCCGATTCTCAACATCGCAGAACATTCACAGCTTGCGGTCTCGAACACTCAACGCACGGCCTCAATTTGTCTCTAACCGCCCGGCCTTATGCAGAATTCTGACCAGCAACTGGCGCACAGAGCTGGGATCGAACTCGCACCTCTATGCTCCAATCCTGGTACTCTGAAAACCCTCGGCGACTGCCGGTAACCCGAGAACAATCGCTGCCTTGACTGCGCTCAGGCCTCGCCTTCCTATACCCTCCCCACCCTCTTGGCCCCTACACCTCCCCCTCTCCAAGGTGGAAGTCTAGTAGCTTCTTCAAACTATCGCCAGTCATGAAAAGATCCGGTCAAATGACACGAGTTTAGATCTATGAACAAGGCACGAAATGGAAAAGAATCGGCGACAGGCCACATCAGGCCTACACTTCAGAGCCGACATCACTATGTTATGTTATGTTATGTTATGTAACCACTGGGCCACCCTGCCCTGCCACTGGTCCACCCGTATCACAACTTGTACAGAACGTTAGTTTAGAAATCAATTACGTACACAGCGTGAAAAAAAATAAATGTTTGATATGTAAGCGCCAACTCCATCGTTGCTGGGTGGCTCAGTGGTTACAGTTCACAGTACCAGGATTAGAGTATAGAGGTGCGGGTTCGATCCCAGCTCCGTGCGACAGTTTCTGGTCGGAATCTGCAAGAAGGCCAGGCTGTAGACTGCAGAGCATAGTAGAAATGGAGCAGTGAGTTTCAAGGTCGAAACCGCAGCCAGCTATCGATGTTCTTCGACCGAATCTTCGGTATCGAAGTTCGGTGTTTAGATTCGGTGACAGACCTACGGCCTAATAAACGCTGTACCGCTATTTATATTAATACATTGTTACTAAACTCACGTTTTTGACCACAATTTATCATGAAAGCTTGTTGGCAATTCTGTTTCTTCCAGGCAACGAAATTTTTGCCGTATTGACTGTGCCTGTTTTAAGAAGAACATTTACATAATTTTTTCAGTTCCTTATTATTAGCATAGCTAATGATTGCTTGGTGGTGGAGATTTCATCAAACAAAAACAGCATCTTGTGATAAAGGCCGTGCCGCTTTGGTCACATTTCTCTCGAGTACTTAGGAGCTCTCTACCACCACAAGAAACCACGCCACGGATACCTAACTGAGAGCGGATGAGGCTGCAAGCCTGCAACAGCTGTGAATAATGATGGTCACAGAACGCTGACGTATCCAGGTGCGACAAGTGGCCTGCGTCTGCCATTTACGGCGTTTTCAAAAACGCCATCATCATCTTATTAATACTATAGCGTATTAGTGTCGGCGCTCGAGAATAAGGTCGAGCTTATTATTAGCTTAGCTTGTCGCAATTCATGTGATTTTTGTGACTTGTTCTGTTGTTCATTTGAGATCTAAAAACTGGCCTTTAAGCAGATTCTTTCAAACCTAAGATTGAACTGAGCAGCTGCTGGACAGCCTGGACTTATAGTTTTACAAGTTCCGTGGACCGTGGCTGTGGCGTGATAGCCGACAGGATAGGCCTACATGACAGGATAGGCCTACATGACAGGATAGGCCTACTGGTTTGCCAGTTGCCACTATGAGTCCAACTGTCCAAGCAACTGTCCCTCTTAGCCTTTAGGAGTAAATACCGTCAGCGTCAAATAGGGTAATAAGGGATGGTTTTGAGCATTTTTTGTTGATAACTTCCTACCATGAAACATTTCAGAAACAAGTTTGGGCAGAATTGGGCTCATTTTAAAGTTTTTGCGAGGGCCATCAAATGGCATCTCCAAAAAAATTCCATATTTTTAAACATAAGTTGCTAGATGCAAAATAAAAGCGTCCCAAATTACCTCTGGCCCAGGGCGCAGAGGGTGGATGCAGCGTCGCCAATATATGGGTTTTTAAGCCCTAAGCGTTGCCGGGTAATTTTAAGATGCGTTGCCGGGTAATTTTTATGTAATGAAAAACTATTTACAAGCCACAAACTTATTTACAAGGTTGCATGCACATATTACCCCAAATAACTAATTTTACCCTAAAAACAGTCTGATTGTACAGCAAGTGTCAACTGAACATGTGATAATTTCGTCTGACCGCTCTAATCATCTAATGTGACCGCAACTACGTATTCGTAAGCTTGATGTTTACATTTTTTGGCGGGAACTCATCGCAACTGATTTCTGGACAAGCTTCACTACATGCTGATCCATCCAACATATCGGAAACCTTACTTTTTTTAAATAGGTGGCCGAAGACTGACGAATATATTAAATGCAAGAATTTAGAATTTCAATCTAAATGTGTCGGCAAGATCTTCTGAAGGCATAAATTTTGCTACTGAAGCGTCGCCAAAGATCTTGCAATATTCATCCACTCTCTGCATAGTGGCCTCTGGCCCTGCCGCCCTGGGAATGAGGTAATCTGGGACACTTGCAATAAAACTTAATTTTAAGACATTTGATGGTTTGAGCATGCAGAGTATACTTGTTCATTACCGTACTATCAGTACTACTCTGAACTTCTGAAGTCTGAAGTCCTCCTCTTTCATTGTAGATGATGTAGATGTAGAATAGGTAAATGACATTTTTTGTGATTTTTACTTGTTTTTCCTTTATTGATATGATATTACCATATTCATTAATTACCATATTATTGATGTGATATTACCGTATTCATGAACATGCCATTGAGGATTGAGCATGTACAACAACCTTGTCCACTGCAAGCTTCATATCAGCAGCCTTGAGCCTTATTGCATTTCTTCTGGATCTGTAAGTTTACAGGATGGCTTGTAATTTCACACCATTTTAATTGGGTTAAGTGAATTTACTATAAAAAAGATTGTGAAAAACATACCTGAAACAGAAAGGAATGTTTTAGTGACAACCATCATATGTTTTGGAGAAATAAATCATAGTTTAGGTCAATTACTTTCCATTCTATGATGCCCAGTGCACAATTCTATATATGACATCTATGCACAATTTTGTGATGACTGATGATGCACTAATTTTTTGAGAAGTGAAATTTTTTTGGTAAGCGAGGTAAATGTAATCAAAATTCTTTGTTGTTAATCCATTTTTTTTTGTTAACTGGAGTCTTTGCTAACTGAGTTCTACTGTAAATGCATTTTTAAGGGTGTCCCTTTTTACATATTACCCTGGGGGGTTGTCCCTTATTACCCTGTCGGCTGTCGCGTGGAAATGGCTGCCATTTTTTTTTTAATGAGAGGCAAATTCCATCAATCACGTTTTCAAGCCAACACCTGTGTGCAACTTTTATGTACCTAAGTAAAATTTTTTAGTACAGCAATTATTTTTTTTTTTTTTTTTTGCTTCAGGCCTTATTAGAGGTACTTTTCCAAAATCGCACTTTTCACCCTTTTTTCAGCAATTTTTCAGATAGAGATAGTAAATGTTTGATTTCTTGACTAGCGCTATACATAATAGATAGTAAAAATGTTGAAGTTCACACTACTATTTTTAGTTTTGAAATATTTTGATTAGTTTAGCTGCTACAACATTTCTACAAAATGTGGGACGCTCGTCCCTTATTACCCTGCCTGTCCCTTATTACCCCATTTGATGGTATATCAATGCTTGGCCAATGATTTCTGTCCTCCATTCTGAATTTATGTAAACTTGTTGAGTATTTTTGATGCCTTCCTTCTTACATATAGTACACCATGAAATGAATCAATGATTAGTTTACCAGGCATTGTGAATTCATAGTGGACCTTTTTAGATTCTTGAAGTTCAATTTTGAGTCCTATTGGAACTATAACCTATAAGTATACCAGTAAAGTATCATCTATACCAGCATTATCATACAAACCTTCATAAGATCTTGGTTCAAATCTTGAGCAGATAAGGCAATTGAAAATCAACTGATTCTAAAAAATCATTGGTTTGTCAGTTGTCAGTCACTGTGCCAGCCTGCCAAACATTGGTATAGATTGTTTCCTATCAAATGCAATCTTCAAATGCACAACTCTGAACTTGAAACCATTTTAAAAATTATGTAAATGAAAATACCAAATTTATTGTTTCAAGCAGAGCCATTTCTGTGTACAATATCAAATGCTTGATATTGTAATTTTTTACCAATTGTTAAGAGATTCAAAGTCATTCACATTTTTTACATAGTATGTGTGTGCCTGAGAAAAAGTGCATCTTCATAACTTTATTGCTGGTGCATGTGCATGTGCATGTGGGTGCAATTCCTGGTTGTGACAACTAGATAAGGGAGGGGTGATAGGTCTGTTTTTCCAGGCACTAATGCCACTGGAAAAAGTTTCATGACCATCACTGGCTTGTTGACCCATCAGATCCATTTACACAACACCCTGGACAAGCCAGATGCTCATTTATCAACCAGAGTTAGATCATGAATGGGTGAGTTGACCATGAGCTGAGCTTCCCAGAAGAACCAGTACTCCAGTAGAAGAGTATCTTGACAGACAAAGCTGCATAGTGGCAAACCAGATATTTTTTAGAATTAGTTCATTTTTAATTTCCTCATCTACTCAAGATTTAAACCAATATCTTAGTTATGATAATGCTGGTATCCATGATACCTTGCTGATCTACTCATAGGAGTTGAAATGACTTGAGGGAGAATCTAAAAAATCTGCTTTGCCACTGTGCAAGGCTGTGGGATTTGTGGTTATTTTTATATGGAGGTTATTAGAAATGAAGGGATGAAGGGCATTTTCTTATGAGCACAAGACCATTAGGGTGAACTCGTTTAATCCTAGCCCTTGCCCAAATTGTAAAAAGTGATAGCTCATATTGTTGCTGGCGCTATGGAATGCTTATGTCGGGTTCTTTAGTCTCTGGCAACAATTTAGGTGAATGAACGTTTTCTTCTTGCTATGGATGTATTGTTAAAGCACGGGGCAGTGGTTACAGATGCAGTTGCGAATGGAATGAAATGTAACCAGACATTGGGAGCATGAATGAGGTATTTCAGCTGCAAGAGATAAAACATATAATCAATAAAAGTAAAATCAAATAAAAGAACCTCACTCACAGCAGTTAATCAAAACCAAAAACCCTTAGCATTGATAAAACCATCAAGCCGCAAGCACCAAGTTTAACTTAGTTTGAATATAATTGATAATATGGGTGCGCAAGAGTAACGCGAGAGAGAACACACAAGAGATCAAAGTGAACCAAGGTAAACGGCACAATTGCAACTGTGGTAATAACAGCAACTTATTGGGGGAAACACATATGTAAATTGAAAACAGTTTGGTATTCTCATAGGAAAATAGCAAGCATTGAAATTAGAAGATTGAAATAGCAAAGCAATTGAAGTAAAATCATGTAAACAACTCATTATTGTGCAATTAACATTCTTTAGATTAAAAGCAAGCATTGCCTGAAGTGGATAAATGTATGTGCAAAGTATAAACATAAGCATGAATAAAGTAAATCAATTATTAAGCTGAATGAACACAACATACCTGGTTTTAAAAGCTTTATACAATATGGATTCTAACAAGCACTCACCAAGGCAATTGCAGTCGTTAGAGCATTGGACATCAATCTGCCTGCTTCTATTAGAACTTTACAATGGCACTGATCAAGCACATGCATGAATAATATAATTATTGAAAATTTTCCCCGTGCCTGAAAAAATAAAGAGAAATTTTTTGTACTAAATTAGAACATATACAGGGTGCGGCGCGGGAACTTACTTATTTGAATTGCGCGCCACGTGGCGGCCATTAGTCCTAGGAAGGTGGCGCCATGCGCAATATGGTGCGCGGGCTATGAAGTTTTTCGTCCACTCAGTTCAGTTGCGACCATGCAGTGGTCGAGAGAGGAGCGCGCACATGGAGGTCACCTACAAGATGTAATATTCAAGAATTAAACTTGTAAGTAAACCCAACGAAACTTTAAATGTAGCTCTTTGTAAAAAAGAAAGAATTAAAACGCTATCTTTAATACTTTTTACTTTGTGATTTTTTTAAAAGAGTAAGTTCCCACGCCGCACCCTGTACATTGAGTGAACAAATGAATAACAGATTTGGTTTGCGATGAAAAATACTGAAATAACCACCCGGCTACAATATCCACCTGCAATTTTTTTCACTATCAACTGTGAAATTAGCATTGTTATCTGCAACTCTCATAGTGAAAGTCAATTTGGGCTTATTCATGTGTTACATCCACACCATATTCCTGTTAGCATCTAGATGCCCAGGGTACTGAAAGCGGGTGAATATTCCCAAAGTTCTTTCTTGACTCATCACCATCAAAATCTATATCTTCAGAAGATCTTGTCATCACATTTTTCTCTAACTCTTTACATGCATTTTTGGCAAGAAATCTTGAAGCTTTAGGGGGTTCTGCTGCCAAATCCTCAACAATACTGGTGGCACTATAGGCCAAAAAAAAGGATCTAGGTGACACTATGGCCTAACTCTACATTGTGGCTAGATGCCACCCCAAATGAATGAGGATTCATTGTAGAGCTAACTGGGCAAAATAATTTATGCAGACCTTATATATATTTTAAGTTCCAATTGTCAAGTTTTGAATCAGCATTTTACTGGAATCTTGGATAATATGATTCTTTCTTTGAGTGAATGACAGCTGAAGACTAAGAATTTCAAAAAATTTTTAGTTTAATTTACTATTCTTAAATATATCTATAGGAATATAGGTACTTATTTTCTAAACTAGTGTCACTGCTTAAGGAATTGGAAAATTTTTAATTGTGCAAATTCATATCAGTATTATTATTAGTGAGAGTATCTTTAAAATAAATCTCCTGGATACAATCTGATTCTTCTGAAAATGGTGGAAACAGGCATGTATTACAATCTAACAAATGACTGGTCTAACTGCAATGGTAATGATGTTCAATGTTAGTATATAGTTGAAATCACACTCCTGTATATACGAGATTTTGACCATAAGTTGATAGCAAACTTTTAAGGAGCCCCATGTTGCAAGTTCACTCACTAAAAATGTTCCTCATGTTCTTGTGCAGATGTTGTGACTTATGGCTTGAAGTTATCAAATTTTACTCCAGTTGTGTCCTACCTAGTTAACCATATGAACTTTATAGCTTGCCAGTTAGCAATTTATCATTTTTTCAGAAACTTCCTAAACCAGATGTGTGCTTTAAAAGAAAAAAATTTACTCCAATCAAGAGTCTAAAATGGCTACTTCTATTTTGTCCTGCCCTTTATGTTGTCGGCAGGAGTTGGGCACTGTGGAAGCGCTGAGAGAGCATCTTCTGTATTTTGTTTACAGACCAATACCCTGTCCCGTGTGTCGCACACCCATCACTGGATTGCAGCAACTTGTGCATCACCTGGATGTGCACTTACAGTGTTTACAGTTGGACAACATTGCAGGTCCAAATCTTGTCAGCAGCATCATGTCATCTGTGCCGCATCTCAGAGATGTCTCTGTTGTAGTGCCTGAGTCAGAACTTCTTAACATGCAAGATATTTTTGTTGCAAGGAGTGCAGTGGTGAGTCAAGAATCTGAAGTGTCTTCAATGAAGAAATCAGCTCCCAATGGATTCTCTGTTGTAGATTCTCTTGTAAATTCTGGCAAAAATCCCTTGGTTCAGCTGGATTTGCTCTCAGTGCAAAAAGAACTTGCAGGAACATCCGAGTCTCATAATGCTTGTGTTCAAAAATTTCATAATGAATTTTATTCAAACAATATTCATCAAGTTGGCCATGAACCTCCTACTGTTGAAGAAAATACAGGAGTCAATATTGAGAGAAGCCTATCTGTCAGTCCATGTCATACTCCTAGTGAGCCATCAGTGCAAATTTTAACATCTGCTACTGAATTAATTATGACCCCTCTTATTCTATTACCATCTCCAAATGTATCTTCTGTGAGTGATGTGCACCAAGCAAGTCAGGATTCTGCTATGAATAGACTTTACGTGCCTGGGAAGGGAGCGGCTGATTTCATTGATAATATGCAACAGTCTTCAGCTCAGAATCCTGCTGATAATGTGCTTGAGAATTCTAGAAGTGCACATGGCGGTGATGATAGGCATTTGTCAAGATCCAATGAAACTCCTCAAGATGCTTCAGCTCCTCCTGCAGACAATGTTCCACCAAATTGCTTATTGACAGATACTCTTGGTAAAACGTTCACCTGCATTCATTGTTTCATAACATGTTTGAGTGATTTTTTCCCCAAAATTTACTGAAACTCAAGACCCTAATACAAAGTTGTTTCATTTATAATTAGTTTAGTCACTAATTATGCATTCTATATATATATTTTCCTTTTAAAATATTCATGAAAATAATGTCTTTGATAAATTTTTAATCTAATGTTTTTTAAGTTTGTCTAAAGTTGGCACAATCTCAAGTTAGGAGAGTCATCATTAATCCCAACATTATAAATAGTGCATTTCTGCATAATTTGATTTCACTTGAATGAAAATGATGTATAGGAGGTCTTGAATAGAATAGGCATATAAAGATACATATAAAGTAGAAATATTTTATTGGTTGTTAGTAGAATGAAGAGAATAATTATTTTATGCTTGAATAATGTGCAGCGACACTCTAATTCTCATAATCATTTCAGGTGCTGACCAGGAGAGATTTCAATGGACATCATCTCCAAAGAAACAGAAAATCTCGAGTGTTCAGCCATTGGCAGGTCATAGCACCCAGAACGCATGGCAACCTTCTGTCCATGCTTATGTCTGTTCCATGTGCAGTGCCAAGATCGTCGGGCAAGAACTCTACTTTAAACACCTGCAGGAGCACTCGGATGGAGTCCAAAACAATGTTCCCCAAGCTCCACGATCAAAAGGTCTTGATTCTGACGTTTCAATTTGTACATCTACATCTCTCGAAAGCAGTGGCAATAGTTTTAATTCCTCAATTATGTGCAACCAAAAACTTGTGGCAGATAAACTTGAGTCTAATTCTTGTTCAGAAATTGCTCTTGATAAAAATGACAGAGTCAATTGTAATCCAAACTCTTTTACTGACGAGTCTTTTGTAGCCACAGTTGAAGTTAGGTATCCACTGCTGTGTCAGAACTCAGGTCAGCCATTGCCTGAAGCTTCAGATCAAAGAAAAAATTTGAAAAATTTTAGTGATGATCCAATTGATGGTGAAGAAACAGTAATAATTTCAAAATGTAATAGCACGGCAGATGGTCAAGAAAAGGAATGCAGAAATGTTGATTGCTCTTCAAACGATGAATTTTCTGACTTTGATAATGCGTCATTAGATGAAAACAGCTGCTTCGATTACGAAAGTGATTCATTTCTCCCATCCTCTAATATTGCCAAGAATCCAAATGCCACTAATAATGTCATGAGTTCTACCTCTGATGAATATGGCCTTTGCGGAACCGCTGATCAAACGACGATCGATAATATCCTCAGTGTAAAACCTCAAACCAAGAAATCCAGAAACATGTACCTCCATAAAAAGTTCCATCATGAACAAAAAACCGTCGTTCATGGTCGTGAAGACGAGGATGGTGGACGCTGTTTTATTCCGGATATTCAATCAGTTTGGGTTAGTAGACTCAATGCTTCAATAGCACCTGAAGAATATAAAGAAACTTCTCTCTCTACGCAAACCAAAATTGGTCGAGATAACAATTACTCCGATAACAAGTCTCTTGAAAATGGTGTTGCATCACGGGATGCTATTGATGATGCTCGTGATGCATCCCTTCTCATTAATCGTGATGATCACATGCTTGATCATCAATTTCCTGAAAATCAGTTGCAGGGTGATTCATCGCAGTCTACTTCTGACAAAGCAAATTCCCCAAATTCAGTACCAAGTCATGGTGTCCCGGCTTTGGAATCGTCCAGTGGTCAACATCAAAACAGAATTGCTTCAAGTAGTCAAGAAAAATATGTAATGTGTGCTACAGGGTCTACTTTGCGTTGGGCCAATTCAAAAGAAAATATTATCTCTTACAATGATATTAGTGACAACGTGCCGCTCATCCCTACTGAGGAAACTGGTTCACAGAGAGAGAATCTCCCAACTGCCAGCTTGTCCAACGCACTTCTGCCTTCCGTCGACTTGTGCAGTGACGGTGATACCTTTCCTAATGCAAGTATTTTGTCAGTTGTGGATAGCGTTAGTCAAAATACAGGCTCTGAAATTGTGCAACATCAATCAAATCAGCGTCATGTTGTTCCGATAATGAACAATGAAAAAAACCCTGCTCTACAGAAGATCACTTTGGTGGTATCTCAGGAATGCCCCGAAAAATTGACTCTCCCTGAGCCGAATCTATTAATCAGAAATGTATCCATTGATTCATCACCAGAGCTTCAAGAATCGAACTCGCTTCCTTGTACAAAAAATTCTTCAAAAAATCGTGCATCTCCAGCAGCTGTAAAAAAGCCATCTTTTGCTCATTCGTCGTTTGCTTTTGATTCATCACATCAGGATGATGAACATGTTTTAAGAAACATACAGAATAAAAGCAATTTTCTGTTGAAGGAGGACCATAGAGGCATGGCTGCAGTTAAAGAGTCCGTCCATGAGAATATCTCGCCACTAGGAAACATGTCTATCAAACCTGTTGAATCAAATCCTGACATTTTACCATTAAATGATCCGGAGTCTGGGGTCGGGGAAAGATCAGAAATGTTTTCCTCTGCAGAAGACTCAGCTGAGAATCGATTTTTAATGGTCTCCTCAGAAAAAAACTTTTCAGCAAACCTAGTTGGTGACGATGCCATGAAGTGCCTTGGAAAAAAAGAGAACAACACTAATGATATTTCATGCTCGTCTGATGGCCGTGTAAACGAATCAATTAATTCTAGTCCAAGTAGCAAAAGTGACACTCTTCCATCAAGACATCACTGCCGAGAATGCAGTAAAACTTTCTTGAATGTTGGTAACTTTCGCAGGCACACAAGAGAAGTTCATAATTCGGCTCGTGAATTTTCGTGCACTGTTTGTAGCAGGACATTTTGTTCTTTCCGTCAACTGGTAAATCACAGAGGCGTTCATGATACCCAGAAAAAATTTCATTGTAACCTCTGTGATCACCATTGTTATACATCAGCTGGTATTCGGTCCCATAAGTTCCAGGAACACAAAAAGGAGAAACTAGTTGCAAAGCCTTTCAAATGTGATCAGTGTAACGAAAGTTTCGCGAGAAACTTTGGTCTCCAACGACACATGCGTCGGAAGCACAGTGAAAAGCAGTACTCTTGCCCACATTGTGCCAAATCATATTCATGTTACGAGAACCTTCAGAGCCACGTAACTTCTCACGTGGTAGACGAGACACACATTCGCTTTTATTGCAGTCCTTGCAACACGCAATACAAGTCGAAATTTGCTCTCAAACGTCACTTGTCCATTAGGCATCCACTTTCTTTAGATCACAATCGTGACCAACATGTGGAGCCTTGTCCTGAAGATGACCGTAGTTCACTTCGAAACTCTTCAGAGGAAATGTGTAGTTCACTTGAAAACATGTCCCCAAAACATGACTCCTCTTCTTCTACACTCTTGAAATCTTGCCCAGAGTCTACTGTTCCAAATCCCCTAGAATTGGCTGCTGGGAATGAACAGACAGGAAAACTTATTTGGTCTAACCCCGTTGTCAACAATAGATTCTTGCAAGCGGCACAAAGTAGACTGAGCTCTATCTCCTGCAAGAAAGAAATATTGACCTTAAATTCATCACTACATAATGAGGCAAGCACGTCCAAAGCCAACGATATCAGCGCCAAACCTGCGGCGAAGTTCACATGCAGCGTTTGCTCCCACACGTTCACCCGCAAGGATACCCTCAAAGTACACATGCAATCTCACTCATCTGAGCGGCTTTTCTCGTGTAATTTGTGTGATATGACATTCAAAAGACGGAGTATTTTAGTCACGCACCAAAACAAACATAAGGCCATAGCCAGTTACCACTGCCAACTGTGTGACAAACGCTTCAGGTTCAAAATATCGCTTAAACATCATAGTTGTACGTCCAGGTTAGATTAAGGAGGAATTAGGGTGTTAAATTTTACGTGATAAAATTATAGTCAACGATCAAATATGTCTGTTCATACTAAGATATTTGAAAATTCTGTAGTGTATAGTTTTCTGGCTTGGCTTTGAGAAACGATCGGTTTTGTTTATAATTCACTTTAGTTGTGTGTAATTTGATACTCGTTTGAGACCCTGGGTCTGTTGAGGTGGTACGTGTTTTATGTGACGGGTACTACTCACGTCGTCCAGCAGCATAGGACTCTTATTACTAAAAATGGATGACGTTAGCGGAAACTCGGTAGCATTGGTAGGCTGCTGAGCTCTCATCCAGCCTGCTTTTGAAGGTATAATGTGAGCGCTCCCAATATATTCTCCAGTAAGCAGTTTCTCATGTCCACCTGGGGCCATACTTTCAAAACACGCTAATTGAGCGTAAGTACTTACGTTCTATTTTTTTGTCTATGATTGGTAGATTTTGCTTGAAAGGTCGTCAATGATTGGCTGATGAACTAACAATCTCCTACATTTTTTTGAAAGTATAGGCCCGGGACACAATAATGCCTACTGATGCAAAAGCGCAATAATTGCTTCTTGAAATTTTACTTTAGTTCTCTTGTTTGTTCCGCTCTGCTGCGTTGAAGGCAGCTCTCGGCCTCTGTGTAGTAGAAACCACGGGTCATCTTGAAAGCTTCCATCAGGTCCAACCTCAGCAATCTGTGGATTGGTATCGTCTCAGTCTTTCCTCGTAGAGGTGACCAGACCACGTAACAGTACCATGAATGACTGTCTATCCATACCTGGAAAATTAGGCTCTTTGGCAGTCGCACCGCGGCACACTTGCGAGCTTTGCTTCATGCAGAACCCTTAACATTTCCGAACTGATTTTCTAACCTCATGCTCTGCCAGTGTTATCTCTTATTGAGGTAACGAAAATGCTGAACACCCTCTGAATTTTTATTTTTCTTATATGATTAGCTCTGCATTAATTTATTCAGCACTCAGAATTTTTGTTGTAAGCAACGTGGTGCAGGAAGTAACGATGCCTATTGGTTAGAATTCCGTGCAGTGATTAGTGTGACATTTCCGTTTGTTCAATTGTTTAGAATTAATCCTGGCATAAACCAATGTTCGATGTCTGCTTTGTGTCGGTGCTTAGTTTATGTTGAAGATTCAAATTATTATTTTTATTGTATTTGGTTATTCTAGGTGGATGTGGGCATGAGATTTTATTTTAGATCTTGGTTTTATTCGCATAGAATAGATTTGGAGTTGTCGTTGAAGCAATGATATGATGGTGAGAATACCTGCATTGAAAAGCTGCATGAACATTCCCAAGAGGCAGAAGAAAATTCTTGCTGAGCGGAATCACCTTCTTAGTTTCTTAGCCTTTGAAGGATAAACTTACCGCCTAAGGACTACTGATGCTCGACTGCCAATTTAATGGTTGTATTTAATGTGTATTGAGGAAAATTACTTGGTCAGAAAACGACTGTTCTGTGTTAGGAGCGGAATTTCGACTTTCATCAGCTGATTTAGTGGGGTTTACATTTAGTTGATGAGTCCCATTAGGTTTTTAGATTTTAATAAACAGCATCGCTAACCCCAAGTTTAGCCGCTTGTATTTATTTTAACAAATTTTTGTAGATTATTCACTATCTCGTCGGGTAGCCGTTATAAGTTAGAACTCCTGCAAAATTGTCTGCAAACATTCTAAGCAGATGCGAATTACGGAACCAAGAAAGCGTAGAACATCTTAATAGTGAGAACAACTTGCTCTCATCTGTTGCCAGGGAAATTCAGTAAACGATTCATTCTCCCATTCAGGAACGATTCATTGTATGCACAACAAAAAATAATTCTTACATTTTGAACGCAAGATTTTTTTGCGTCTTTTATCAAAATAATAATTTAGGACAAATTGAAAAATGTCAGCATCTTCAGTAGATAGATGCATCATATTCCTTCATGGATGTATGTTATGTTGTGATCACTCAAGTTTTATAAAGATTTATGGACGGGAAATGCCTGATATTTCCAATTGTCGCGTGATAACTATACGTGTGCAATGAAACCATTAAGTGGGCGCAGTTCAATCTCCTTCATCTACTTGTGTACGAAATATATCACTTGATTTTATTCGTCATTTTTTGTAATGTCATTTATGCCGTTTTATTTGTAAGGTCAAAATTTGCTTAAAAAAGCTGTAGCAAGGCTTATCGAATTGAACTAAAATGGTTCCGCGAACGTCTTTGTGAAGCTTGCAGGATTGAAATAGGTATTTTGTATCAAATTTCTGAAGCGTAGTATCATTATTATTCCTTCCTGCTTTTCAAATTGATTGAATAGACTGTTAGCGACAGTAGAACTCCATTATATACACATTTTCTAGTGTGCAAGCCAATGTCAAATACATCAATAAACTGTTGATATAACCAATTACTCTTAACATTCAAATTGTTCTGAATCTTGACACGACGCAGTCAAGTCAAGATTCAAGAAAAACAGTCTAGTCTGTTTTTGAAGTCGTTCATGCTCGGAGCGTCAACGATGTTATCAGGGAAGCTGTTTCACATGTCGATGACTCGAAGCGAGAAGAAATGTCGCAGGGATGTGTTACAACGCAGTTTTTTTTTAGTTTATAGCCGAGGTCCCTGGTGTTGGTTCTTGTTTAGACCGCGTACATCTAGACCGCGTACATTTATTCATTGCTGATTCTGGTAAGCTCATCAACCAATTATTTGTACGTGTGTTAGTATTTATGCTTTTTACAACACTTCTCTTTAACTTCACTTCTTGTTTGTCTGTGGGTCTGCTACAAATCGATATTTAACACGATTATACCTGTCCAATCGATCTGAAATTTGGCACACTTGCTTAAAATTTGAGACAATGCATGAATCAATTGACAGAATAATTTTAAAAATTAAAAAAATTATTTTTATTATTAGAAAAATTTGAAAAACTATTTTTGTCTGCTACATATCTTATAATCGCTATTTAACACACTACTACCTGTCCAATCGATCTGAAATTTTGCACATTTGCGTTAAGTTTGAGACAATGCATGATTCAATTGGCAGAATAAATAATTTTGAAACATTTTTTTTATTTTAAAAATGAAATTTAAAAATGACTTTTATAATCTTTGATGATAAAATTAGAAATTCATTCTACATATGTAACATCGTAGACACTGAGAAAGTGTCTTTTAGATTTAGTCTAATTTTAGATAGTCTAATTTTTTAGAAGTGTCTTTAAAAAGTAATTTTTAAACGCACATTATTATTAATTATAAATTACTTTATGTTTGATGGCACTAAGCATCTATGTACATCCTATCTTGATCGCACTCGTTTAATGTATGTGTCGGAAATGGAAACGTATTGAAAAATATACACGTTTATTAATAGTATAATTACAATTAGATGGTGTCGGCGTAGAATTTTCCAGCGTATTTTAGCGTGATCATGACAAATTCCTCTTGACTGTGATATGCTTAGCGTTCGGGTTAAGAATTTTAATAGATTCCGTATGGATTGCCAACTGTGATAGTAATATTGATTACGTACCTCCTGTAACCGATTAGCTCTGTATTGTGCAGTAGATGAATTTTCACTTCATTTGTACTATTTCTATGCAGATCGAGTTCCTAATTCAGACATGCGAAGGTGTATGATCTTATTCATGATAGCTTGCCGGCTTTGCATGGTTATCTTAGCGTGATTTACGTTATTAAAGACGCCGAAATTCGAAGACGAGATTATATTGGGAACGCATTGCAATATTGAATATTTATTTACCACGTATCAGGATCTGAAACTTGTAAATGCTAAAAATGTACATTTTATCTACGTAGGTACAAAGCGAAGTCATTGTGGTGCTATATATCTTGATTTGTGTTGATCAATGCCAGGTTCAATGGGCGAAAAATTTTGTTCGAATTTTCGCTTGGATTCCTTGGTTTTACGTATGTCAGTTGCCTGACTTTAAAGTAGATTTAAAGTCTCTCAGGAATATTTGTGAACGTGAATGGCGTTAAAAAGTTCGGTTAATAAGTTTCCCCAACAGTTGTTTTTACTTTAAAAAAATTTTGACCAGTCAAAAGTTATGTTAACTTTCATTACACTCGTGAATGTAAATTTTCTTATCGGTTCAATTGACAGAATAAATGCATGATTCAATTGACAGAATAAATAATTTTGAAACTTTTTTTTATTTTAAAAATGAAATTCAAAAAATAACTTTGTATAATCTTTGATGATAAAATTAGAAATTTATTCTACATATGTAACATCGTAGACACTGACTTTTTAGAAGTGTTGTCTTTAAAAAGTAATTTTTAAACGCATATTATTATTAATTTTAAATTACTTTATGTTTGATGGCGCTAAGCATCTATGTACATCCTATCTTGATCGCACTCGTTTACTTTATGTGTCGGAAATGGAAACGTATTGTCCGTATTGAAAATTATACACGTTTATTAATAGTAAATAGACCGTTCAAAATTGTGTTAACTTTCATTGCACTCGTGAATGTAAATTTCTTGTCGGTTAACTTGTTTAGCACGATTTCTAATCTCGTGCTCGTTGGGTATAAATAGTGTCATGTTTTTATTCAAATTTATTGTTTCAATTAAAACGAGATTAAACTTTCAAATCTCGTTTGATTTGAAGGTCCCTCTCAGGGGGACTGCAGGTCTCGGTGTCTGACTGTAGGTCTTAGTTGTGGGTTTAATTAATATGTAGGTAGGATTCTATTCCTTACATTATTATGTAGGCAGGATTCCTTACATTTCCCTTCTCTATCTCTCTCGTGCGGGCGGCCGACGTCCCGTGTAAGCGACCTCTTGTTCGAGTGTCTTCATTTCTGTTGCTTTTCACCTGTCCCTCCTTGTCACTTAATCTCTTTGAGATGCTAATGCTGCTTCTTTCGAGCCAGCTTCAGCGGGCTGGACAACTGTGACCTTCCGCCCCTTGTGGGTGATGAATAACTTGAGATTTTGAATAATTAAGACCTTCCGCCTCGCTGGCGATGTTATATTTTGACCTTCGGTGCGAAATAGCTTGATAGCTGAAGCGCTAGCAAACCATAATACTACTACCGGTACTTGATTTGAAGGTCCAGTATTGCATGCCTAACAGACTTGCTCCATTTCATCTGTAGTCGATATATTTTGCTTGTTTTTATCTTGGTGATTTGCTCTTTTCACACACGTTGACAGAACTATTTGTGACAAACGTCCTTTAATTTCTTTAGCTCCTGATTGTCCAGATTGCTGCTCAAGATCATATATTCGACCTTCAAGCTTTAACTAAACGCAGCTTAATACGGTGTTAAATGGCTAATAGCATGTACATGAATTATCTGTTAGACTTCCTCTAAATTTATCTGCATTACGTGCATCAATTCAGGATTGCGTAAATTTTTTTTTGCAGCAAACAATTACCAGAGGCATTATTTAGTGCTCGTATTTATATGTTGAAATATTAACCGGAAGAAACAGTTTAATATCAGGTTTCTATTTTTAAATTGATGAATCTTACATGCACGAGTGGTGTCTATAATGAGAAAAAATTTCCCGAATGAAGTGTGCAGTTATCTAACTCAATTCCAATTTGCTCTTCACTGATTTCTCGGACCCTCGGCCCCATTGTATTTCTGGAATAAAACAGACATGCTTTTGATGTCGATATTTGTAAAGCGATCACGTGCTGAAATTTGATAACAAGATTTTATAATATCAATTTAGCACATTCAAGTCCAACTAAGCTCCTGCTCCTTCATTGTCTCAGCAAACCGTTCTAGACACTTTGAACACGTAACGAGCAGGAGAAACCAATACAATCCACACGTGGTCTTGCTCTCAAACTTGTACTTGTTGTAGCTGTAGACTTTGGACAAAACTTTTTCGGGCTTTATTGATATTATTCTTCCATTGGGCGTAGAAAATTTAATTATATTTTTTGCTAAATTATGTTTCGAAGAAATTTTCATATTCAAAACGAGATCTTTTGTGAAGAATTACCAACTTAGGTTAGCAGGAAGCAGTTTTAACAGAAAATAATGACAACAATTTGAAAGACTTTTATTGAAACCCATGTCTTCACAGTGAGGATAATGTTTTTTCTTCTTAAACTTAGGTCTGAAATTTTCTACCATTATTGACGTTGGCTATCAGTAATCAAATATTTATACTTCCTTTAGAACGATCGCAGTTAAATTTTTATTATAATGCTTCCGTGTTACAATTTATCTTTTATATCCCTTCGATTTATTTCCTGCAACATTCCTGAGCCTAAAAATTTTATGGAGACCCCAGCAGATGAATCATGAAAGTATACGTTCATTTCCAGTACAACTTATTAATCAGTTTGTAGTACCGTAAAAATGTATCTAATTTAACTAAGGAAACATAGTCAGCAATTTCTCTTCATTGTAAAGACCAAGTAATTTTAGCGCAATATCCAAAACTCTATCTTTCGTACATGCATCGTGCAGCACCGTGTACCAAGGATCTACTTCGCTGGGCACAACAACGCCGTACAGTTCGAGAGCTACGTGTATGCAGGTTACCGCAAGGAGTTCAGGCTGGCAGCTTGTTACCAAGGGGTCGTGAAAAGCATCTTGCAGGAGACTCCATGCCGTTTGTTTTACAGGCACCGAATCGAGTAGATCCCTGCCAAGCCAGTCTTCCAATGACTGCAGGTAGTGAAGTAGGTATTTATGTGGAAGATCAATTTTTAATTTGAAACCTAGTGCCCTCATGAGCAATAGTTCGGTTTGCGTGATGGAATCACGCATAGTGAAGTAATGCTCAAGCATGAGAGGTGGTGAATCTCTGTTAATGCAGTTGAATCCTACGTTCACTATGTCCCGAATCCTGATGTCATCGTCAACAACTTTAGAGGCAAGGTATATACATGTGCAGCCTATGGTGAATGGATCGAACTGATCCAAAGGGACATTTTTGTAGAAAGTGTGAAAATAAGTGAGCGCGGTGGCCGTAGTGAGAACGTTGGTGTCCAGCTTGTGGCACACCTCCATCACATAGCGAGCACAAGAGAAAGTCGTTAAATTCTTGGTGTAGTCGACACTGGGGTTGACCGCTTCTGTAACGGATGTAGAAGTCCCATTGCTCTGAATGTCGGCAGAAGGAGGCTTTTCCGTGGCACTCATCTGAACATAAATGGCAATTTCAGTTAAAATCTTGTTTTGGAACTCAATTCATGCATCATAAAAAAAGTTTAGTTGTCATTCAAATTTTATACTTACAGGAAATGTTTATGGTACAGAGATTATGCTGTCAACAATTCTATTGAAAAATTTTTAAATATATAATGAAACTTGAGTTTTTAATACATTAATTCAAGAATTTCACAAGCAATTTTCAAATGAAAATGCATTTCAACATGTATATTATAATGCAATAAATGAATGCTCTTCATATTGATTTTGACTTTTGAAATTATTTTTTGAAAACATAAATTGGTGGCAGCCATGACACTAGGTTCCAGATGGACATGCCTTCCAAAATATACTATTTTCTGGGTAAATTTTTGTAAAATTAAAATTTACAGAACAATGTCTCTTTGTTTAGAGGATTCACTATGTGAAGGCACTAATTCTTAAATAGGAATAAATCGTAACTTAATCACTTTGTTCTGTCATTACATCAGCATTGTGATTGTATCATCTACTGGTGATTTCATACTTTCATCCACCTATTATTGCGCAGGAAGAGAGTATAACACACTGGACAATATGATTTAAAGTACCTTCCCCATCAGCAGGCAAACTAATGTAGAATATAGATGATAGTTAAAATCTTAAATCTGGATGGAATCTTGACAAGGCCACCCACACCCAGTCCCACATCATATTGTAAGCCAAGGCAGTTGCTTATAATATAATAGCTGCAGTCAGTATGCTGAATGGCAGTGCATTGTACATACAAATACTCGACACCATCCTTCAAAATAGCTACATTGCCAAACTATGTGTCAATGACTTAATGTTTAGAAAGACAGACTAAGCTAGGGTAAACGCGGTATATTCCGACATCGTAGGTAATTCCGTCACCTCTCCAGCTTTTCCTTTATATTAAGCTTTTTTTTAGTTCCATGCATTCATTGATGGTTGAAATGGTGACGTCATACATTTGCGTGTCGAAATACTGCAAAAACACTAGGTCTTGGCCATCTAGTGGGAAAATATTGAGATCCAAAGAGAGACAATGCATGCCACGTGGTGAGATCATATAATTAAAAGCCTAATAGCTGTTAATTAAAACGTAATTAAGTAGTGTTCAATATTCGTTAGTGTTCTAATTCAAAGCCGTGTTGTATCCCAACACAGCAAACAGAATTCGAACACGTGGATGTCGGCAATATGTATCAGTTAAATTTGAAGCGCTGACGCAATACGACTCACCACGTGTCGGATGTTGCCACACAAAGTGACGGAATATAGGGATTTGGTAGGTTTCCATTCTAAAGGCTTTTTAATAAATATGGCAACATTTTGTGACGTTTCATCGTTGCTGACGCGTAGTGAAGTGTTTTGAGAGTCATGTGAAGCCCGGTGAAGGCAACAGAACTTACGTAACGCATACGGTTTTTTTTATAGTCTTTCATTTCTCGATGCGTCCTTAATGTGTCGGAATATACCGCGTTTACCCTAAGTGTAAAGCAGAGACTTTTTTAGACTTGCACTCAAGTTCATTTTTGAGTCCAAAAACTACAAGTAGGTAGACGGTAGACCAGTAAAGTATCCAGGATAGTGGATACCACTCATACCTGATAGGCTGATACCAATTACCAAGTTTATTACTAACATCAATGCATTATCATATAAAAGAATGAATGAATGATAAGACATTGGCTTAAATTTTGGATATAAGAGGAGATTAAAAAAGAACCAATTTTTAAAAATCTGTGGTCAGTATTCACTATTCAGTGTCAGTGGTAACTAATGACAGTAAAGTAAATGACACTAGGTATGAGACTAGCCTGACTACTGACTAGCAGAGTAAGCAGACTAGCCTAGGTAGGTATAGCAAAATAGAATATAACATTTTCTCAAAGGGGTACTTAGGAGGCAGATGTATAAAATTGGACAGAAGCCACCAATGAATTTGCAAAATGCCTGTGAATTTTGGATTTTTGCCAATTTTACATGTTCCAATTTCTTCAGTGAAATATAAGAAAAACGACCTATAGGCTTAGCCGCTTAGGGCTAGGCTATAGGTAGCCTACTAACACGTAATTTTCAAAAATCACATGTGAAACGATTTTTTCCACCTGCGATTTTAGGAAACTCCTGTGTCCTGATGAATTTATCAAATAGGTTAGGAGGCACACGTAGATGCCCTCATACAGATTTAAACAGATATGGCAAACAAACACTGAAACAGTCTATTTAGCCTATTTAGCCTACTCTGTTAACAGCACTCGGGCGCGAACGATATGAAGCATCTATCCACGGCAACGGAAAATTATTTTTATCCAGAATTTTATTGTGAGACAATTTATTGGCACGATGCAATGTATACAATACACTTGGTTTGACTTAAAATTTTAAATAATCTACGTACGGATCAGATAGACATGCCACTGATATCATACCTGACAAAACACTGAATACTATCCAAAAACACTCTTTTCAGTAATTTACATGTAAAAATTTCAATTTTGCTCATATGCATTGATTTTTCCTACACGCTCACTGCTTCAACAGTAACATTTCACAGCATTAGCTTATAGAGCAATGAAGCTTCGAAGAACGGTTAATTAATGAATATTCAATATTAAAACAAGGTATCTGAGAAAGTGAATCATGATGGTTATTTTTTAGTATATTTACAATTAGAGGATTAAACTTGATTCGAGCCTTGGGGCAGCGCACATGCTTGTGACATGGCACACATTCAGGAACATCTACGCGCCTAACTTCGTAAACTCGAAATCGATCTCGAAATCGGCCAATTGTAAAAACAATCTGGATGAGAGAGTTCACCACGACAACTTCATTGATTTTAAACTAATCTCTGCCTTGGTAACTACACAGCTGTCACTTTGCATTGCATCGCGGGAAGAGTTCATGATAGACCATGATCCTATTTTTTACTGAAACGTAGAAAGAGAGTCGAGTCGTGCTGCGTTATAGACTTATTCGGAATGTACGGTTTCATTAGATTCAATTAACTTGAATCTAGTCGTAGGAATCATGATTCTACCTACATACCATATAGAACTCAGTTAACATATCCTTCCCCTTGCTCAGTTCCTTCAGTTCAGTTCTCTCCGCGCCATAAGGCGCACAAGGCTTGGACGTCACTCCTCCACTGGGTCCGGTTTGCAGCTGCCTGCCGTGCTATATGTTCCACGAGTTCCAGCCTGCTCGGTTTCTCTCCTCTTCCACCATTCGCCTCCAAGTTGTTTTTGGGCGTCCTCTCTTCCTCCTTCCTTCAGGTGCCCACCCGAGGGCCACAGCACAGTCGCTTGCTCTGTCCTTCCTCAACATATGTCCCACCCAGTTCCACCTCCGTCTCCTCACCACATCACTGACTTTCTCCACTTCTGTCATATCAAGAACCGACTTGTTTGAGATGTGTTGCTGCCATCGGATCTTGCAAATCTTCCGTAAGCATTTGGTCTGAAAGATATCTAGTTTCCTCTCTTCTCCCTTGGTTAGTTTCCAGGTCTCACATCCGTATAACAAAACTGAAAGAACCAGGCTCTTAAACAGGGAGGTTTTGGTCTTTCTGCTGATGTTTATGGCTTGCCAGATGTTTGTTAGTCTTTTGAATTGCGCGCTTGCCATTGCCACTCGCCTCCTCACATCCACTGTGCTCCCACCATCCTTTGTGACGTTTGCACCCAGATATGTGAAGCTCTCCANTAGTCACTCTTCTGTATCTCGAGTAGAATCTTGCTGTTATTATCCTCTTGTTGACAGGTGTCCATTCCATGAGTGACTTCTCTGCCTGTTGACTTATCAATATAGCAACGCCTCCCTCGTGTAGTTCATCATCTCCGCTGTATATCAACGTCTGTCCTGTAGCCAACCTCGTCCTGCCTGCTCCTGCCCACCTGCACTCGCTGATCCCGAGCACATCCAGATGGTATCTTTTCATCTCGCTCGCGATCTGTGCTGCAGCTCCTCCCCTGTACATGGTTCTCACATTCCAGTGACCGATGGTGAAAATGTTTTTGGGTGTCACTAGAGATCTTGTCGGGCGTTGGGCTTCCCTAAGGCTTTGACCCATCGCCGTCATAGGGCCAATATTGGCGACCTCTGTTTCACCCTGGTTTACTTGCAATATGCCGTCCGTTGTTTCTGTAACAAGATTGTTTTCTGGGAGTAGGTTGTTAGCCTTCTGCCCAACCCCCAGGCTTGGAGGGCCAGTGGTTTTCTGTCAGGATTTCCTTCCCTTAGACTGCGTTGGTCCACGTCACCTTACGGTGTTCCCTCCATCCGCCACCCGGAGGACGCGCCTCGTACGCCGTGCAGTCCCAGCGCGAGGTGCTCAGTTCCTTGCGCAATCTAAATTCTCCTCGTTCGCTTTATTAGAAAATGACTGAACTTGAACAGCGTCAATCATTACTAGCGTGGTTAATATTTTGAGGTGGCTCAGACAGTTAAGAATTGTATAAACTACACTAATTAACCCATGGTTCAACTAATTCAACCATGAATAAACAGTCATGCGATTTGCCAGCGCACCTAGAAAAACGGCAACCGCTAGTTTCATTGCGTAAACCGAGTAGGTTCCTGGTTCACAGTGGTCATAACAAACGAAAAACTTGGTATATCACGTCAATTGTAATGTTCCACGCAGTACTTTGATGCCAATTTGAACCTGCATGAACATCATGGTACGCAGTTTCTTTTTCTATACGCACCCGAAATATCAGTACGTGCATAAAAAAGCTACTGGCCCAATTTTGAAGCCAGAATTTCGAAAAATTTAGTTAAAATCTAAAATCTATCGACCATATTTAGCCACTTTTAAATTTCATAATACACAATGCATAGCCTACACCAATGCTTCTAAAATATATTGTGATCGAGCACCACTTGGAAAACGCGCACAATCGCCGAGTACCACCAAATACCAACCATGTATCACTATATATTTATATTAATCGATGGTTTTAATTATTAAGTTGGATTTACGACCGACAGGTATTAAATGCTGGAGTACAAATTTCATATAAATTAGATGAGCTCTTCAAGTTGAATAGTTAAGGGGCGCATGGTTGATCAGACTTGTGAATCAAATGTTGAAATCGGCGCTGCAGTTGTGTGCAATCGGGAAATGTTGATGAATATTGATAGTGAACTTGTTCCTATCACATTAACAATTAGTATCTACGTGTGTTGTATGAGGCATTTACTTAGGCTACTTATATAAACTATAAAACTGTAATATGGATTTGGTAGATTGTTTTGCTTAACGCCATAGCGCTGAAGCCCATAGCCACTTTTCAAGTTTACCTCGTCTTCTTGGATGTGCAAACGCACCATGACCCCACCTCTAATCATGCCCCAGCTCTCCAGCTGGCTGCAGATAATGAACGGGTCAACCTCCTCATTGAAGTGAGCAGAGAATAATGGGTAACGGTGGCTATCATCCAAGCACGGAACAGGTCAAGGCGGGATCACTGGCAGTCATACTCATATATAGCGATTTCAGTGTTTATTAGGCCATAGGCCTGTCGCCGATTCTTAACATTGCCGAACATCCACAGCATGTTGCGGGCTTGAACTCGCAACTCACTGCTTCAAATTTTATTTGCTTAACCGCCCGGCCTCCTCGCCGATTCTGACCAGAAATTGGCGTACAGAGATCGAACCCGCACCTCTCTGCGCCTCTTAGTACTCTGAACTTTAACCACTGGGCCACCCTACCCTCATAGTTGAATTAATTGTATACTCATGATTGAATTCAACCATGGTCATACTAATGCATGCTGATACAAATTCTTTGTTTTGGACTTCATGACATTGGACCAGACATTATGAAGGCCTCCTGGGGAAGTACTTGTACCACGACGCATGATGGTTAGCGGAACAGCGAGCCACGAGGTACAGGACGATTTGTAGCGGATCTCGCTACATAGCACTAATGTTATGCATAACATATCACTAATTCTTATATTTTTCATACTAACATAATATAACTAATTTTTATGTTTCTTATACTAACATTAATATTAACACTCACAATACACATTAAAGTCGTACATTTTAAATCATATTAAATAATTATAACATCATCACGAGAGTTTCGGAGAAAACAGCTTTATCGATGGCAACATCTCGAGCCCCTCTTGCTCACTGCTTCTTTGATAGCCTCTCGTTCTATTCGCCTCCTGACTTCGATTCGTCAACATCTCCCATGTAAGCTCCGTAACTTAGAAATTATTCTGCTGTAGAATAGCTCTCATTCAATGTGTTAAGTATAAGAGTAAAGTTAGTTCAGAAGTCAGAGTCATTGCAAGGTTATATGAATTAAATTAATGTATTAAAATTAGCGTGTTTTCATAAATAGCTCACGTGGCTTTAGCTCATTTTTGAGATGGTGTCGTAAAATGTGAATAGCGTATTAACAAAGGCCTTATTTTTCGCAGCACTACATCATCTGTTTCCTGCAACGCATAAAATCAAGATCAAGCGAAATCTCCCGCCAGTAAATCCAATTATTCCGGCCAGCACATAGGCCAGCCTCGAGTCTTCGACATCGGCGTCAGTTGCTTGTCTTCCCGCCAACTCGGGCGCCGCCATCTTGGATCCTGCCGACGCGCACGCCGCCATCTTGGATCCTGCCGACGCTCATCCATGGATATTCAGTGAACAGTGCTAATGTGATACTCAGTTAACTCTGCCTAATATTCCGTGAATTTGTGAACCTTCTTCCACGTGAACACCACAGTGCTAATGTGATATACTCAGTTAACTCTGTCTAATATTCAGTGAATTTGTGAACTTTCTTCCACGTGTCACTCAAT